AGGCTTCATCAGAAGAGTGGAATACTCTGAATGGGTCTCCAACCCTGTGCTCGTCAAGAAGCCAAACGGCAAATGGAGAATGTGCATTGATTTCACCAATCTCAATGACGCATGTCCAAAAGACCCTCACCCGTTGCCAAACGTAGAGAAGTTAGTAGAACGGGCAGCAGGACATGAAAGGATGAGTTTTCTTGATGCAAGCTCGGGTTACCACCAGGTCCAGTTGTTACTAGACGACCAGGAAAAAATAGCTTTTTACGCTGGTGATGCAATATACTGCTATGTCATGATGCCTTTCGGCCTCAAAAATGCCGGAGCAACATACCAGAAGTTGGTGCAAATCATCTTTAAGCTCCAGATCGGCAGGAACATAGAAGTGTATGTAGACGACATGATAGTCACCAGCGTGCGAGTTGAGGATCACATTGGCGACCTGGATGAAACTTTTCGAAATTTGCGCCGAGCACAAATGAAGCTAAATCCTTTGAAATGCACATTTGCTGTAGAGTCGGGAAAATTCCTAGGATATATGGTATCCAAGAAAGGAATTGAGGTAAATCCAGAAAAGGTTGAGGCCGTTCAGCAGATGGAGCCACCAAGGACTGTCAAAGACGTGCAGCATTTGACAGGCCGTGTTGCTGCGTTGCATAGGTTTATAGCCAGATCGGCGGAAAGGTGCCTTCCGTTTTTCAAAGCTCTGCGGGAGCCTAAGAACTTCCAGTGGACTGATGAATGTCAACAGGCATTTGACGAGCTCAAACGATATTTGGCATCCGTACCCCTGCTGTCCAAGCCCGTCGATGGAGAAAGTTTGTACCTTTATCTGGGGGTCACAGAAGAAGCAGTGAGTTCAGTACTACTGAGGGAAGAAAATAAACATCAAAAGCCTATCTGCTACGTGAGCAAGGTGTTACAAGGTGCCGAGCAGAACTACCCGCTAGCAGAAAAGGCTGCTTTTGCTTTAGTTTGTACGGCTCGTAAGCTGAGAGCTTATTTTCAGTCACATCAGATTGTTGTTTATACTGATTTCCCGCTAAGGAAAATATTGCAGAAGCCAGAGCTCTCTGGTCGGCTCATCGAATGGAGTGTCGAACTAAGTGAGTATGACCTTAAATTTCAGCCGCGCACGACTATAAAAGGCCAAGCTGTGGCAGACTTCCTAGTTGAATGCGCCCCGGCGGCTGTCAAAGAAAAGGTACCTAAATACCCAGTTTGGGTTTTGTATGTAGATGGAGCTGCTAATGTCGAAGGATCAGGTGCTGGGGCTGTGTTACTGGGCCCTGATGGCTCCAAGTCTGAGCACGCGCTAAGGTTTAAGTTTCAGACAACCAATAATGCTGCAGAATATGAAGCCCTAATATATGGACTGAAGCTGGCGGCCGAGTTGAAGGTACAAAGCATTCAGGTCTTCAGTGACTCTCAGCTTGTTGTTCGCCAGGTGAATGGCAGTTGCGACATCAAGGATCCTCCGCTCAGTCGTTATGCCCTTGTGGTCAACAGATGGAAGTCAAGATTCGCTTCATTTCAGATCGACAAAATACCACGGGCAGATAACCACCGAGCTGACGAGCTGTCAAAGTTGGCCTCCTCGTAGGACATTAACCCTCAAAGATCAACAATCGTCGAGGTGCTCGACGCACCAAGCTACACTGATTCCACAGTCGACTGTCAACTACTCAGTACATATCCCTCTACACCGAGCTGGACTACCCCACTCATAAATTATTTACAAAGTGGCAAGCTGCCTGAAGATCTGTCCGCTGCGAAATTGATTAAACGAAGGGCAGCACATTTCACTTTATTAGATAACCAGCTCTACAAACGAGCAACCTCAATGCCCCTATTACGTTGCCTTACTCCTTACGAAGCTGAATACGCTGTGAGAGAAGTTCACAAAGGAGTATGTGGCACGCACATCGGTGGCAAAACTTTAGCTCGAAAACTCCTGAGGCATGGTTATTACTGGCCCACTATGGTCGACAACGCACAGAACTATGTCAAAAAATGTCCGACCTGCCAGTTCAATGCTGATGATATACACATGCCAGGCACTTGAGCCTATTCTAAAGAGCATGCAAACTCTGTGTTTGTCTCTAAACTAAGCATAAGTATCTCTCTTGCAACAGGGGAAATGCTATCATCTCTCGCGTCTCCCTGGCCCTTCGCTCAATGGGGTGTTGACCTGCTCGGCCCTTTTATCAAAGGCAAAGGAGGCTGTACTTTCCTGGTCGTTACAGTGGATTACTTCACTAAGTGGATAGAAGCTAAACCACTGTCCACGACAACAGAAAGAAAAATAGAAGAATTCTTGTTCAATTCAGTGTTGTGCAGGTATTCTTTGGTGACCGAGGTCGTAAAATATATGCAAACGTGATTTGTAGCTCAGCTCGCTAATCTGTGTGCAGGTTCGGCATACCTAAGCGAATTATCGCCGACAATGGGCCACAGTTCCGAGCAGCAGCGCTAAGATCGTTTTGTGACGACTATGGCATCAAGCTCGCTCTGATGTCCGTGTATACTCCACAGTCCAACGGGCAAGCCGAGTCCGCCAATAAAATCGTCTTGCGAGGCCTCAAGACACGCGTTTTGGCTGCGCATTCTAATTGGGTTGACGAGCTCAATAAAGTACTTTGGTCTTGTCGCACCACACCCAGCTCGGCTACGGGCGAAACCCCTTTCAGCCTGGCCTATGGAGCTGAGGCCGTCATTCCAGTAGAGGTTGGATTGCCATCCGATCGAGCAGGCCGGCATGACGACCTCAACAATGAGCAACTTTTGAGAGAAAACCTAGACTTCGTAGAAGAGGTCAAGGAGACGTCTAGAATAAGAACTGCGGCACATCAAAACCGTGTTGCAAAATTTTACAATAAAAGAGTCCGAGCTCGCCAGTTTCAAGTTGGCGACCTGGTCCTACGTAAAGCTGGATTAACTAACACTCATTCGCACATGGGCAAGCTCGCTCCTAATTGGGAAGGCCCCTATATGGTTGTTTAAGTTAAACGACCTGGTTCTTACGTGTTAGCAGATATACAAGGGCGTCAGTTACCTTACATTTGGAACATACAGAATCTTAGAAAATTTTACAGTTAGCCTGTATACTATTCTTTTATTCAAGTCGTTATTCGACAGTTGTAAATAAGGGCATACCAGAAATACAACAAGAGTTCAAAGAAATATTCATTTTTGTATTTCATCAAAGATGTTTACATTGAACGTACATGCGATATGGATCCATTGATCAAATACAAAAATGCAAAAACAAGGTACAAAAATCAAAAGAAAAAACCCTAAATCTAGTCATCCGTCAGGTCGACGGGCATGGAGGCATCAGTAGCGGCTGCAGGAGAGCAAGCAGGAGGAGATCGGGCTGCGGGCTCGGAGGCTGGCGCGCTGACCAGTGAGCTTACTGACACCCCAGCGGGCTGAGAGTTGGGCGGGGTGCTTGAAGGCTCCTATTCAGCCACAGGAGCACCCTCTACCCAGGCGTCAAAGGAGGGCAGTCCTGCTGGATCCTCCCCGTCCTCCAGCACGGACGGTGGCCAGACGGGCACACCCTCCTCGTTTAAATCCCACCTCAGCCTCACAGTTGTGTCAGAGAGGGGAGCAAGGCTCTTACCCTGCTCGTCTAGCTCCTCCTCGTCAAAGAAGACCAGCTCGCGGATTGGAAAATCCGGGCGGTGTTGCAGTACTTTTCCACGGATCTCATTGTAGATTTCCGTGGTAACATTTGCCGACGCCACCGCCACGGCGTCCTGAAATGCAGCCGAGCCAACGAATCATTCCGCCCTTTGAGCCTGGGCGATGACGACAGAACGTGCATGGGAAGCCTTCAGCTCGTTCAGTGCCTCCGCGGCAGCAGCAAGGTTCCAGTCCGCCTCAACGACTTGGTGCCTAAGGGAGCTCAGCTCGTGCTGAGCACGATCCCTGTCGGCCTCGGCCTTCTTCGCCCGTTCCTCAACCCGGACGGCTTCCTCCTTAGCCGCCTGAATCCCGCTTTCCTTTTCTGCCCGCGCTCGATCCAACTCCTCCCGGAGCTCGTTATTCTTGGCAGCGAGCTCGTCTGCTCGGCTCTCCACGGCAGCAGCTCGATTCGCCATCTCAGAGCCTTGCAGACGATTCACATCGTCCACAAGGCTAGCCTTCTCTGTGGCTAGCTATTTGCACTTTGCTCCGAGCTCGGTGTTCTCTGTACGAGCCGCCTGCTCGCTCTCGTACAGTGCTACCGCGTAGCTGAACGCCTGCCAAACAGTTGTCACTATTAGTCTCTGAAAAGAAAAAGCAAAATATTCAAGCAACTACGAGCAGGTACTTACATCCATTAATTTGATCATGGCGACCTGACCGCCATGCTGTTGCACAAAGGCTTTGGCCCACCTATTGTCCGAAGGGGGCACAAAGTTGTGCATGGCTTGCACCATGGCAGGCTGGCACTCTGCCCGCACATAGCTGAAGCCCTCAGGATAAGCAATCCTGGGGCCCATCGAGGCCGATGCAAAGGCGGGCTCCACTACTGCCCGCACAGTCGCTGATGGTGCGGTGGGCGAACGCACCGTTGTAGGACGAGCCGCCTGTACGGGCTGAGTCCCCCCGCTTCTTATGCGCCTAGCAAGAGGGACCTCGTCCTCCTCGCTCTCTGTCTCCTCGCGTGCACGTCTGCATGCACCCGGGGCCATAGCCTCAACTCTGTTATCTGCTCGCGGCCTTGACGACGAGCTAGACCCCCTATGAGACGGGCCGCGGGATTGAGGCACTGGGGGTAGCCGCTCGTCAAACCTTGTCTGACAGGGTTGCGCGCTGCCCGACGCGCGACCTCGTGAGCCTTGGGCTCGCTGTCGTTGGCGTTCCAAGATGCTGCTCATGTCTCCTACACAGAAAAACGCAGAAGCCTCAGCCCGGCTAGAATTAATACTATATGATAAAAATATACCTTCGCTGAACAAGTTTGTCACATCGACAAACCCTAAAACGACGAGAGCCTCCGAGGTAACCAGGGCTTCTAGATCTATTAGACCCTCCCCCTGCACATACTCCAGCAGCTGGTTCTTCAGATCGACATCCCGAGGCAGTAGCTAAGGATAGTTGATATGAGCGTTGGGGGTGCGCCACTCAGACAGCCGGGCAGCGAGGTCGTTGCTTATCCTTTCTGCTCGCGTGTCGCGAACAAAAATAAACTGTCTCTTCCACCTCGCCACCTTGTTCCTCACATTTTTTAAGAGCTGGCTCTTATCCCTCCCTGAGAGGTAGTACCACTTCGCTCCTCGTGAGTTCGGACACAGCCGGCACTGAAACAGCGACCTGAACACGATCGCCTTGGCCGGCACCTCTAGTCGCTCACACAACAGCATAAAGCCAATAATGAACCTTATGCTGTTAGGTGTCAGCTGCGTCAGCGCCAGCTCGTATTCCGCCAGCAGGTCGAACACCAATCCGGGCAGGGGAAACCGCAGGCCGGCGTCAAAGTGGTCCACATACACTGGGATCCAACCAGTCTGTGACACCGTACAAGCCCTCTCATTGGGTGCGCCTGTTCGTAACAGTATTGTCCGGGGAATATGATACGCCATCACCATATCCTCCAATCTCCTGTACCCACTGATTGAGGGCGCGCAGTCTGCTACTTCATGATGAAGCGCAGCCCGAAACCTAAATCCGGCGGGCAGGTCCTTCGGCGCCTTTCGCAGGTTGTTCAACCTGCCCGTGATGGTCCTGCTTTCCCATTCTTCCATAACAGGCCGATCTGAAACATGGCTCACTACATCCCCTGCCCCCTCCTCGCGGCCTGGTGTCCCCTTGGACGAGCTGCTCGATGGCGCACTAGGATGGTTGCCACCGTTGTCACTGGCGCTAGAACTCGTGCTGTTCTCAGACGCCATTGTTTCCGGCACATCCTGCAACTCCGGCGGCACTATCATCGTGATAGGCTCCACTAACAAAACCCCTCCCTCTTCTCCCTCTCTGCCCTGGTTACCTCGTTGCTCTGTGAGTTCTCTCAATGAAACCATTTTTACTTGAAACTGATGTGAAGTTGGTTCGATGTACTAATTCTTCAAGCTGGAGCGTTTTTGCTTCAGAGAATTTTGGAAAGTTTAACCAAACACAGAAATGAAAATGAAAGAGGAAACGGTTACACAGAGAAGGATATCGTAGTGTTAATTTCCGTACGCGTGTTTCTGACGCGCCAATTCGCGTCATACACGTGGCACACGCTTAACGTCCCTTCTACATAACGTGCGCCGGCTTTAGCTGTCATGTCCCTCAAATGCTGAGCCAGCATTTATGACGGGGAAGACAAAGGGATACGGGGAGATCAACCGTATCTCCTCAGAGATCTGCTTCCGTATCTCCTCAGAGATCTGCTTGATTCAAAAATCCCAAGATTCAGATCGTCACTGCTGATGTGTGCCTTGTGCTGTCACATCAGCTCGCCATAGCGAGCACACTTGCCAGGTCGTTACAAACATGACATTTTGCCAGATCGGCTCAACTGTGACAATTCGTTCAACAGTGTAGAGTTTTTGCTAAAATCCCCCCCATGATTCAGCTCGTCACACATCGTGACGACAACCACATTCGTCAGGTCGTTACAAGGACTGCAGCTCACACGCAGGCCACAAACCTTTGCATAAATCAATGGGTGCCCCAGGTCGCCCTATTTGGCAGCACCACTCGTGCGAGCTGATAAAGTGGTGGTCAAAAAACGCAAGTCGCACCGGATGTGAGGTCGCTCGCCTCACCTCGTGATCATAGCTAACTGAGCGTCGCCTGGTCGCACGTCGGCAGTACTCAAAGGTCAGGTCGTCACATAGACGAGCTGATCGGGCGGTACATCACACGCAAGCTCGTCTGTTGCGAATTACTTCAGCTCGCCGCCACAACGAACCCACACTAATATGCTATGAATACCAGCTCGCCCACACGTTCTCAAGCTCGCGAGCTCGCCTCTTCGTGTTTTACCTTTCAGCTCAGCCCTCGTCGAGGTCGGCTGCAAGCTGCCAGCCCAACAACGTTGGCCTGTGGCTACATCCATCCCAGTTCGTCAACCGAACACTGGGGGGGGAGTAATGTTGGAATAGGCCCAGCACAACACCCAAACAGGGTTGGGCCATGCACAACGGGCCTAGGTTACCACCTATTAGCCCAAGCTGAAGGAGCATCGATGCAAGCATACCCACGTGACCAACACCACGTGGGCCAATGGGGTGCTCACACGTGTAGATGTATGTCAGCACCAAGGGGCTATAAATACCCCCCAACTACCTCCGATGAAGGTAATTAATCTCTACGCTTCTCTCTCTGCAATCACTCCTTGAGAGTCTCTCTCTCTAAGGTACTGAGTATTGCTGACTTGAGCGTTGGAGTGTTTTCCCTGAGGAAACATCCTCGGGATTTTCAGGTGTAGAAGCAGCTGAAAACTTCAACAGTGTTGGATTGTGAAGCTGCCCAAACAGAACATATCTCCTCCCACATGTTCAACCCCTGCATGCAATTTATGTTTAAACAGAGCGCGGGAGACATATAAATTAAGAAGCTTGACACATGCTA